TTCGTTACAAGTCCGGGCTGATAAATTGGTCTATGCGGAAAGCATGGTAATGCTTTTTCATAATATCCGCACCAGAGAAAGTAAAGCTGACGAATGATGGAATATGACCAAAGGAGGATTTTGACGACATGAAATGCGATCGGTAAACAGAAAGAAAACGACGACATTTGCGTTTTTTGGATGGTCGAGACCGATGAAATACGTCGCCTTGCCCGTGAATAGTATGGAAAATCATTGCTAATTCTTTTCTTGACTGAAAAATTGACCTTAATTCGAGACTTTGATTCTGTCGATACGCTGAAAATGTTACGTTTGGTAAAGATGACTGAAGGAAGTTAGCACGTGGTTTTAAAGCATGATGAGCATGGGAAATGCTGTTTGTATTGGTAGCTGTTGCAGGTTGAAAGGCTACTTGAAGTCTGTTGCTTTGCAGATGCTGGAAATTTCCTGCAATTAGCTGAGAAGGTTCTTTGAAGTTTCACAGCGGTTTCTTTTGTTCTTTGTTAGTCACTGTTTTCGAACGTGATTCTAAGCCTCAGTTCCTGTTTTGCCTGTTGTAAATAAAAGAAGCAGTATTTCTCTGCCGACGACAGTTCCGTCAATTTTGTCATACAAATGTAATATGCTCAAAATCATAGAAAACGATACGATTTTGACAGAAAATTTTAATAATCACTCGTTTATTTTATTATATAAAAATTGCTAGCGTCACAGGCGCGTTTCAAATGCATATTGACATTTTAAATGAGTGGCATTGAAGCAATCCCGTCGAACGAATGTGCTGCGAGGAAGGTTCTTCCCTGCAGCGTTTTCAAGATTGTTCGTGATTCCAGCTCTGCTATTGCCGATCCCAAGCTCGGATTTGGAGACCATGGTGAGGTCTCCATAAAATTTAGCCACCTGCCCCTCATGGTATTGCCGTTATCGAACGTTATACTTGCTTAGTCGTCGCCCGGGTTACCATGGGCCGCTCAGGCTGTTGGGAGGACTGAGGCAGGCTGCTTAAGATCAGTGATCAGAACCTAATCATCGCCTTCTGGCAGCCGGGGGTGCGGTGTTTTGCGGCACAATAACGGCTTGCGAAGATCGAGGAAA